AAAAAAAAAAGAAAATTTCAATGTTATAGCTGGATACATGTTGCTCGCGATGGAGCAGTGCAATGCGTCTGGATGGCTCACAGAGCGAACTATTCGAGTATGTTATTCCTTTCTCTCCTTTTTTTATAAATTAACGCACCTTTTTGCAGCTAGCAGCACTTTGCATCATCTTTGTTTTCAATGTGTTAATTTTCAAGCTCACCTAACTACTAACAGTTATTTCCTATGAACCACAACACTTCTTGGTTATTTGTTAATGCAGTAGCTTCTTTTAAAGCCAGGAACTCCTTGGAAAGGCCTAATTCTTTCTCCCGGCGGATTTCAGCCAATGGGTTCAGTGCGGGAACAGGACGCTTTTACATTTTGCTGAAAGATTTCAGTACAAGCTTTCTTTTTATCATAAAAAACTGATATTTTAGTCAGGTGCAAGTGGTTCTTCAACTATAAACCCGTCAATTTTTATAGTGTGGCAGTTCAACTAAGCATCTGGCGACTTTCCAATTGTTTTGACCAGTATCGTATCGCCTGGCGTGGTCAGCCTGCCGCCAGTCCTAAAGTTCATTTCATTGCCTGAAGGCACTACCAGCTTATACACTTAATAGGATTTTAGGAAAATCTGTTTTGCAGTAATATGCGCAGATTGGAAAATCGATGTAGCGAGTTGCAAACAGAACTAATGATGATGGAAGCAAAATGTGAAGAACTTGAATCATCCTGCGCTGCAGCCAAGGAAGAAGTAAGAATTTGGTGCCACCTCAGTCAGCAAGGCTTTTACATTTTCTATCTTTTGATCGGCCAAAATTTTTCGTTGTTCTAGGCGAAATTTGTGAACTCCTTTTGAGTGTCAGATGCCAAAGTGAGACAGAATTTTAAAATTAAAAAGTTAATTTAAGTGGAAGGGTACCAAATTCAGTGTAAGCACATGTGTGCTTGCGTGTTGGTGCAGGTGTATGTGTGTGTGTATGTGTGTGTGTGTGTATTTGAAGAATCTGTATCTGTGAATGTGTGTACACAGCGTCGTGTGCGTTTGTATGTTTGTGCTTATGTATGGGGGTGTTTGTGTCTGATAAATAGCACTCTTGAACTCGATAAAAACTGTTGGGATTTTTTTAAATTCAAGTATATAACTGACCAGGACTGATGTGTAGAACCATAGAAGTTATATTTTGGGCGGTAAAACTTGAGTGGTACTTCGTTCCTCTCCTTCTCCCCTCCCTTTCTTAAGTCCTCGAAAATGTTTGTTCAACTCATGCTGCTCTAGCTGTTTTGCCTTTTGCTGTGGTACTACTTAATAAGTTCTGTTCTGCAAAGAGTTATCACTTTTACGATATCTCTAGTGTGACAATTGCTATTCGTAGTTGTCTTCTGTTTCTGTCATATAGGTTTCTGCTTCTTTTATTTGACGGTTTTGGATTCTGCTATTACTGACTGCATATATCCACTGTGCTACGTATTTATAACTTGCAAAAATGCATAGCCCTTCTGAACTCTGGCTATTCATTCGTAATCAGACATGAGTTATAGATGGATGAGTTAAAACGATTTCATGAACAAGCAATGTTAAATAGCGGCACAACGCCACAGAAAGAAGCGAAAGAAGTCGAAGCGGTTGGTCGTTTTTTGTTTTTTAAGAACCACTCGCTACTCCCTTTTCATAACGAATGGTCAGTTGCTAGACGTTGGTCAGGTTGCTTCTTCAGTTTTTGCCTAGCCACCACGGGGCTAAGTTCTAAATTCATCGCTGCATGTTTGACACTATTGAAACAGCTGAAAATCTTCCAGTCCTCTCATTTCAGACCACTTTTCTACACTTTATTTTGTATTCCTGTTTGAGCGAACCCTTCCACAGCACTAACGGCCTTTCTCCTGTGTTCTTTTAACATTGTATAAATTGTATAAATCGTATTAAATAATCAGTTTTGCTCAGTTATTATCTCTTATTCTTGCCACATAACCAGCCTAACTGTCTTTCTGCCGTATGTTGTGTTAGCAGTATCGTCCGTAATAGCTGGCATACGAAATCTCGTATCATGAATCGTAAAAAATTACATTAAAATTTTTATTTTAGTTAAAATCGGAGCGCGATGAAGCGCTGAGCGAAGTGCAGACGCTGAAGATGGAAAAAGAATTCCTGATGCAACAGCTTAAAATGTTGAAAATTACCGTGGAAGAGCAAGATCCAGAGCCGCCGAAGCCAACTTGATACAGATTTAGTCCGAGTTTGTTTTTTCCGTTAAGTGCCTGACGCAGCGGCATTTCGTTCTAAGTTCTTCCTACTAATTTCACCCATACTGTCCCATCCAAAATTAGTAGATTTGTCTAAGTTATCACTAGTATTGGAACTGTGAAACCACTGATATTCAAGGCATGCGTAATTTTCCGAGAACTGATAAGAAATGTGTGTTTTTTTTT